TTGTATGAATATTTACGCTCATTGTTCTCAAAACAAAAGAAGCGCTCCTTGCAAATCCCCGTTTTCTACGTTTATCCGTAGGACGAAGAAAATCTAATGGCGTTTTAATGCGTAAGGACGGAATTGAAACTCGTAGAACGAATTTAGAATAAAGAAACATAATTAGATTTTGAACAATATCTCAACAATTTGTGACTCTTTATCAAATCCAACGGTACGTATGGAAAGGTGAATAAATTTAGAAGTCATCTTTGACAAAAATATTCCATCTTTTGTTCAAACCCGTTCAGAAAAAAAGGTAAAGTGCGGGTTGTGCTTAGTAGGACGGAAATTAGATCAAAAACCCTATGTGAAATGCTGATTGTATTTATTTTATTTTAAAGTGAAAAACTAACATGATTATGCTTGTGATTCTGTAGAAAATATACATCCATATAAACGAAGTTTGGGGTATTGGTAATTGTAAAAAGATACATTTTTATTTAGTTTGAAATTGATTTTATATCACACACGAAGATTTAAACAAATGGCAACACTGCATGCCTCGCGAAGGTGCTTTGTGTTTAGTCAGTGCTTGGGTAGGGGAAGAATATTGACAAAGTGAAATGAAAATCAGTTTTTCAAAAATTCTCTTCATCAATCCATCGTCAACAATATTACCTTTTCAATAATATTGTCAGTGTGTCAATGTACTGTCAATATATTGACTCGTATAACGAGCGCTTTAGCGTGTTGTCAATAATATTGTCATTAGTTATGTATTGATAATATTGTAAGGAAAATTGACAATACCATGTTTGTCAATATATTGATATGTGAAGCAGCTTGCCGGCTTGGTCGTTGTCTTCTACCAGCCGGAGCAAGCTGTGTTGTAGGAGCTATGTATCATGATACAAAAAGGGAGAAGATTAGTTCACAGACAAACAGACACAACACATTGAATATTTCTCACTGTAAATCATCGTCGCTTAAAAATTACCGCCATCTGTTGAGTACTCAATGGTGGGTAGTGCGCTGAACAGATGGTGGTAGTGTGTAAACGTCAAACTTAAGAGAATTGACTATACGCACCGCAGGTGGTGGTACTATCAACTACGATACTTTTAAATTTACCGTTAAATGCTTGTTCGACGAACAGCTTGCGAGTGTTATGTGTTATTTTTTAAAATCGGGGTGTTGTCTAGAGGCCGAAAATTGATCTCCGACGCAATTTTGAAACCCAAGTTGGAGGTATCCGGTTTCATAAAAACTGCGAAATACTGTCAAATATCCAACAATATGGTTTTTTTTTTGTAATCGGAATGACTTCTAGAGACCGGAAACCGAAATTCAACGTCATTTATAAATCCAAAATGGCGGTTCCCGATTTCAGAAAATGTGGGAAATATTATCAAATATCCATCAATTTAGATGTTTTTGAAATCGGGATGTTGTATAGAAGCTAAAAATCAATATCCGACGCCATTTTGAAATCCAAGATGGTAGTTTCCGATTTAAGAAAAAGTGGGAAATACTGTCAAAGAATTAAAAATATATTTCAGAACCCTGCGAAGTCATAGAAAATAAGACCTAATCTGCCCATAATCGCATATCAGTCCCATTATTGCTTTATTTCCTATTCATATGGGACTGTTATGCAATGATAGGTAGAAATGTTAATTTGTAGTCTACGATTTGATTGATTGCAGAATGAATAAATAAATAAATAAATAAATAAACTTGGCATTGCTGAAGTCCGCAAGTAGTAGACGAAATACGTGTATCTGGTAAAAGATAGGTAATTATAACGGTGTACGGTGTTCAAACTAGGGGAACAGGATTTTTCAGTAATTCAAGGAACACATGCTAGTCCTTGTTACTTTGTATGCCTTGTTAATAGTGACAAGACTCGCCTTTGTCCACCGAGGATGATCTTGAAAAAAGAAAAAAAAATTAGTTAGTTAGTCTTCATCTATGTGATTCCTAATCTTCCATTAATTGCTCCCTAGTTTGAAGTGGTTAAGACTAGGGTTCTGATGCATGGTCATTATCGGTGTCATTCCTTAATTTTGTTGCTAAGGAATCCAATTTTGACTGACAAAGGGGCGCGCCTTTGGAGGATGTTTCAACACTCCGAAGGGTATAAAGAGCGGGACCTTTCAATTAGAGTCGGATAACTTCAACGATGCCTTACCGCCTTTGCTGAACTCAAACGATCATGTTCGTCCATCGGCAATCGCCCAAACTGAAACGGGCTCCCTTTTGTACTGTAATCATGGATGGTACAAGGGTTGAGTGGTCTGCCGAAGTAACCTATCTCGGGATGTTGTTCGATGAAAAGCTCCTCTTCCGTTCGCATGTAGAGAAAACTGTAGTCAAGTGTTCTGCCTCGGTTAGGTGTCTGTATCCGCTGATTTGCCGCAGATCCCGCCTCTCAAGGGTGAACAAACTGGCTGTCTACAAACAAATCATAGCACCTGCGATCCTCTACGCAACTCCGGTGTGGGAATCATGTGCAAAGACTCACAGGAACAAAATCCAGGTCGCTCAGAATAGAGTGCTGAGGATGGTACTTGCCCTAGTAGCACGCTTGTCTCTAATCGGTTGTGGAAACTTCTATACGACTTATTTCAGTCATAAACAAGTTGCTGCAACTTATTCTAGTGGAAGTGTGCTACTCGAGTGATCGTCCTTTCGACACTAGAATAACAAATTTACACGAAGAGGCAGGCATTGCCTAAATAAATTCCAGAATTAACGAAATTAAGACTAAATTTGCACAAAAATGTAATTTATCAGAACATGCTTTGATAAGCAATTTGTATATAGTAGATAAGGTGTATATAGTAGTTGTAGGATAGTTGTAGTTGTAAATAGTAGTTATAAGTAGTCTCCTTTTTCAAAATTAAAACAAACCAATCCCACCAAGGTGGTCATTCTTAAAACAGGCCTGATAGGACTAGGAACTGTAATTAATAATAATTAAAATTTCAAAAAAACTAAAGTTGAAAAGACGGTGTCACTTGATAAGTTATACATGTAAACCACACAAATTCAAGAAATAAAGATCATTTAAAGCCAAAAAATTCGAGTCGGATCCTTGCGATAAATGCAAGAATGACACCTGTAAAAAAATCGAATACTTCATCATTTCTCAATAGTGATGGAGTAATATGACATGCATTAAACTAAGGACACGGGATATACTTCAGCTCAAATTACTGGTCGCAGTGGTGTTAGGTCCCGAACAGAGGGAAAAATAAAACTCAGGACCAGATTCAGAAAATTACTACTTTTCAGAGGAATCCGAATGTTTAAGGTGACTACCATATCAATTATGCTCAGGACACACGTTCAAAAACTGACGACTTTTACGAAGAATCTGTAAATTCGGAAGGGTGTTCTATGGCTACTAGGTGTTTGAATTAAAATGGTGCTGAGATTTCTCCACTTTACACAAGGCGCTGTGCAATTTGTAAAAAATCGCAGGGTTCTATGACCACTTTTACGGTGATTCCGGAAATCCTCATTTCTGGCCACTCGGTAGCATAATCAATATGGTGATGGCATATTTCCTCTATGCTAACTATTGCATGCAATTTAGAAAAATCGCGTATCACTAGGATTACATTTCGCCGGTGAAACTGGATATCCAAAAGCGCACTTTATGACTACTGGGGGATTGAATGAATATAGTGCTCCGAGCACTGAACACTGATCAGTGATGTCAAAAAAATCGCTTCTAGCGATCAATGAATACGCACACACCTGCTACAAGATTTTTTGGCATCATCATAAGCTAACGATGAACTCTGACTCTTAACACTAATACGCAGAGAGCATTTCGAACAGTGAGTTACCAAGATCTCAAGAGAGCAAGACGATAACAACATCATTGCTGTGTGCACTCACGATACATTACTTATACTACGCAAGGCTTGTTGTGAGTACAAGCTACAAACTAAAGATCACAATGCGTACAGCTGAGTACAAGAAGTTGTTCGGATTATGTACAACTGATGAACAACCGTGATCAGATCATGATCATTGCCATAATGATCGTGATTTTTTTTTTTGCTTTTTTTCAGTATGTGAATGTATTTGCTTGGCGGCATTGGTCCTTTCGGTGGAGTGAAAAAGAAAGGAACAGTTCACCGTGTGAATTTAACAATCAGCATTGCTAGTTCAGTGCTTGAACTAACATCCTTGCACATGATATTTCCAGAATTAGTAATGGGAAAGCAACGAAAACGGCGCCATTTTACCCCGGGGTGCATAATAGACTGTTCTCCCCTACCGATGGTCAGCACCTATCTGCTGATGCTTGCTTATAGCGAATTTGTTTATTACGAATTATTATACCGTTCCAACCTGGATTGGGTATCAAGTTAGGGTCGGCTTGTTTTCTAGCAAACGTCAGTTAGATCGTTTGTTTTATAACCTGACACGGGTCGACTTTCGCGCTGAAAAAAGTTCGGGTTTGCACTGGGTTAGAACTGGTACCAACCTGGGAATAAACAAATTCGCTATTGCTCTGTAACTCCAAACTGCCAAAGAATGCTACTCACAGAGAGACACTCACTCTCGTCTCGTGAAATAAGGACATGTTGCGATTTGTGGATATAATGAGCGAAAAGGGTAACTCACTTCTCTGAGCTTGACTCAGTCTAACAATGTATTTGTTATCTGTGAGTTGCCTACGCAACAACGTATTTTCAATGTGGAAGAGGACTAATCGTTGGTCGTAGTTTGTACAGATGACGATCTGTACAGTTTACGACAAACTGGAAATCGGATCATGCTCGCTTGATTTCCATCACTCTGCTGATATATATTTGTTCAACTAAGGGCTTTTTTCATTTTCTAAAAAAATCGCAGAGCTCTAGATCCACTTCCATGACTACTTTTCCGGTGATTTCAGATATCTTGAGAATCGTTTTCTGGCGATCCAGTGCAGAATCTCAAGATTGTATGCATTTTAGAAAAAAATCGTGAATCTCTAGGACTACTTTTAAGAATAGCACTTTCCCGATGAATCCAGATATCCAGAAGGGTGTTCAATAACCACCGGGGGACCAAATCAATATGCCACTGAGATATATCTTCTCAACTAAGGGTTCTTCACATTTTCAAAAAAAATGACGGATCTCTAGAACTTCTTTTAAGAATTGACTATTTTCCGGGTGATTCCGGATATCCAAAGGACCGTATTCTGGCCACCCGGTAGCAGAATCGATATGTTGATGTCGTATTTCCTCTATGCTAATGATTATATGCAAGTTAGAAAAAAATGCGGATCTCTAGGTCTACTTTCAAGAATTGACCATTTTCCCGGTGAATCCGAATTTCCACAGAGCCACCTTTCACGGGTTTTATCGTTCCGATTGGCCATCCACAACTCCAATCGGTTCCTTGTCTGTTCCGATTGAAAGTAGATAGTCATACCTTTCAAGTAGTGGCTCAATCTTAAGATGTGATGACCAAATTGCCGAGAACCAGTCATGTGAACATGAATCGACACGCATTTTACTCGGGACTTTTCCAGGTTTTTCCGTTCCGGCTTGCCAACTACACATCCAATTGGGTTTCTATCTATTCAGAATAAAATAAGATAGCCATATCTTTCGATTGGTGGCTGATTCATAACAATGGGTCATTGCATTGCTGAGAACCAGCCATGTCAACTATGAATCGACACGCATTCTGCAGTTTGAGGAAGTTTCGATGGCTTGGGATTATGTCAGTTAAAAGGAACCATACACTCATAAAGCTTTTCATAAAGGGATTCCGTTAAGAGGTTCGACAAAATTAAAATATTAGTTTATATCAATAAGTCTTTGAGTACTACGAGAATAAATGCTGCTGGTCATATTAAAAAAAAGTTACCGAGAAAGCTGCGTGGATGGCCAAAACAAAAGCTGATAGGGCTGATTGCGCTGAAGCATCGCCCTTTTCAATTGTCGATGTTATTTGCCTCCGTTGAAGTCCAGAATTGTCTAAGACAAAATCTGTTGAAAATTGAAAGTAAATCAAAACTTTAATGCATATTGCATTTTTTGAAATATGCAATGATCTTTTTTTTTTTTATTTCCAGCAAACAGCAATACAAAACTAATAATTCCTAGTAGGGGAACAGATTGTTAAATGGACAATTATCTCGTAACATTTGAAAAGGGCCTATCGTCGTTGATCGATTCTCTTCATCGACTTTCTCTTTGGTTTACCACGGCTACATAAATGAATTTCTCGTTAAGCTCGCAGCATAGTAGCTTGCGCCTGGAACAACACACTCGAAGGAAATTTCATTTGCAGTTGGGTTATTCGCGAAAGAGAAAATCGATGAAGAGAATCGATCAACAATGATTGGCCCTTTTCTCGTGTTGCACGAGAATTGACCTTTTAAACCGAATCATTCAAATTATATTAATGTAAATGAATTCAAATGTAAAAGGTACAACGGTTGAAAGACATGTTGAATTGATTGAATTTGAATTAATAGGTACTTTAATCGTTATTTTTTCACTTTACCCCGTATTCCAATTTTACCCCCACCTCCACTAACAAACTTGAAGTGCGAAGTTTGAGTATTCATGTTTAAAAATTTAAAAGTTTAGAAAAATCTGCAGACTGACAAAATCGGAGGTAGACAAAATCTGGAAAGCACTGTACTGTCAAATACCCATCAATATGGATATTTTTGAGATCCCAGTAACTTCAAGATGCCAAAAACCAATGTCCGACGCAATTTTAAAAATCTCAGTTGGCAGCTTTAGTTCAGAAAAAAGTGTGATATACTGTCAAATATCCATCAATATGAATATTATTGGAATCGGGGTGACATCTAGGGGCCAGAAATCGATGTCCGACGCCATCTTAAAATTCAAGATAGTAGCTTCCGGTTTCAGAAAAAGGGTCAAATACCCTACAAATGACAGGGTATTGACACTTTTTCTGAAACCCGATGTCCGCTATCGTGGATTCCAAAATGACGTCGGATATCGATGTTCGGCATCTACGCGTCGTCTCCGTTCCGTATTGTAGGGTATTTGACACTTTTTTTTCTGAAACCCGATGGCCACCACTTGGATTCCAAAATGGCGTAATATATCGATTTTCGGCATCTACGCGCTGTCCTCGTTCCAAAAATACCCATATTGTAGGGTATTGACACTTTTCTGAAACCCGATGACCGCCACTTGGATTCCAAAATGGCGTTGAATATCGATTTTCGGCATTTACGCGTCGTCCCCAGTTCTGAAAATACTCATATTGTAGGGTATTTGACACTTTTTCTGAAACCCAATAGCCGCCATATTGGATTGCCATTTTATCAGATATCAATTTACGGCGTCTACGCACAGTCCCGTTCTGAAAATATCCATATTGTAGGGTATTTGGCACTTTCTCTGAAACCCGAAGGCCACCATATTGGATTCCAAAATAGCGTCGGATAGCGACTCACTCACGCGACGTCCCCGTTCTGAAAATACCCATATTGTAGGGTGTTTGATACTTTTCTGAAACTTGATGGCAGCCATATTGGATCTAAAAATGACGATGGAAATCAATTTTCAGCATCTACGCGTTGTATCCTTTCTGAAAATACTCCTATTGATGTGTATTTGACACTTTTTCTGAAATCGAAAGCCGCCGTCTTGGATTTAAAATGGCGTCAAGTATCGATTTCCGGCTTCCACACGTTAAAAAAATACCCATATTGATGTGGAAAATTATCAGTATTTACCAATTTTATTTCTTAAGCTATTCTAGGCCATGTTAGTGTTTTGAAGCCATTTTGGGCATTAGAGCTATTGTGAGGCCAGTTTTAGCTTTTGTTTGAACATTAAATTAGGGTGATTTTTAGCCACTTCTGAGCTAGTTCATCACCAAATCAAAAAAAGGCCTTTTTTATTTAGTATTTTGACGTTTCAAAGGGCTACTTTGGAGTTTCGAGTTGTGTTTTCTGAGTTTGCAGAGTGTTTTTTTCGTTATTGTAGGCTATATTTTGCATTTGACGGATTTCTCGCCAACTCTACCAGTGATTGGCAGCAACCTCTCACATTCTAATGAAACATTGTGGGTGTAAAGATGCCATCTACTTAAGCAACTTTGCATACTTATTTTACTAGAACAAATTGTAGGCTACCATTTGAATAAGGGGTAAAACTATTTCAACTTTTGTACTAAAAATGATGAGACCTACACAAAATTTGTCCAAGAGTCATAACATTAAAAATATAATTCCTACAAAAAGCAATCTAATTATCTACAAGGTTGGCAATTTTACAGAAAAAATGTTATTATAACAATTTGATTTTTCATGTTTGCACTGAATGAAATCTCAGCACTTGAATTTCATCCCAACGCGGATAAGTTTCATCCAGATCCCTTCCAAATTAGAATACAATATTGTTGGAGTGAAGACTTTGGATAACTAAGCAAGCTACGCTCAATATGATATGATTTTATTTTTTCAGTGCACTTATGACAAATAACAAAATTTTGTGAGACGTGTTTCACGGCAACGAATTGGACCCAACAATCTCCAAACGAAAGGTTACATGGTAGTTACAAAAAGTTGAGATTTCCCATAGTTATTTCCATAAAACTTCCAAGTTGTGTCAAGTCAGTTTCTTACTAAGTTCAAATTTTGGGATACTAATCAAGACCCGATTTGGAACCGTTTTGAGCACTGTGGAGCAAAAAATTCAAATTTTGCAGCAGTCTAATGCACATCTTCATCACTGACTGCACGGACGCTGACAAATGTCATGGCAGCCTTTGCATATCATTTTCATTTAGCGATAGTGACCAAAGCTGTTTTTTGAACATTATGCAATTACTCCACGTAGGATTTACCAAATTGTTATGATACTGTATTCCATTGATAAGCCCCATCATCAGTGCGTTATCGACCGAATTTCAGAAAGAAGGTAAATCTGAAGGTAATCGATGAGCACATCGTAAAGATAGATAAACATGAATAAAAAATCTTGTTTTGAATTTCAAGGCTCCGGACTGCCTGTCATTCGGTTATCATCGTCGATACTAGTAATAGACGCTATTTATGCGACAAAGTGCTAATTACCGTTCGCTTTGAACCGGAATAATCCAGAGTAAACATTTGTCACTCTTTTTCGCTATCAGTAGCAGTACTGGACACTCACACAAACATTTTGGTTTTGGGTGACCCAACATCAATGACAAACCGGATCGGTTATTGATAGCACCGGGTAGAAGAAGAAACAAAGGCTATTCGGTAATAATTTACGAGGGTGTTGCACGTCTGACTCGTCCAGGGAGGATCCCTTATCGCCGCATGTGCTTAGTCAAAAGGGCACGGGTCTGATAACAAGTATGTACATGTTAGAGAGAGAGAGAGAAACCACCTTCACATACAGTGTCTCGCAAAATTGAGCGTACACCTGAATGGACAATTTTTCAAACACCTATCTTGTTCAACCTCCGATATGCCGGCTCTCCCTGACGGTGGATCGTTGTCCCTGTTCGCAGATGACACATCCATCATCTATTAGAGTACGGTCATCGGAGCGCTGACCTCCAAAACGTGTAATATATTTCCTCATTCCAAATCTCCAAAACTTGTTCCGTCTGAGAATAATAAGATCAACTTAAATAGGGTAGTCTACCTCAGTCTTATACTCGACAGCAAGCTGCTTTTCAGGGAACACGTCGACAAAACGAAAACACAATGCAACATCCTGATGAGATCCCTCTATCCGCTCATCAACAGGAGCTCCACTCTGTCCCTGAAAAACAAGCTTGCTGTCTACAAGCAAATCACCCTTCCCGTAATCGAGTACGGTATCCCAATCTGGGAGAGTTGCGCCAAATGCCATCACCTTAAACTCCAAAGGATCCAGAACAAGATCCTTAGGATGATCCTAAACAGTCCTCCATGGACGCGAAATTCGGAGGTCTACCGCCTGGTTGGCCTTCAGGCTATTAAAACTATTTAAAAACTATCGATGATAGGTAATACAATAATAATTTAATTAGTGAAAATTTCATTCGGGTTTGGTGCTCCACAAGGGAATTTA